AAAAAAAAAAAAAAAAAAAAACATTGCCATGTACGGAAACTGTGAGCCACACGAAACAAGAACGGAGACAATTATTTTTTCTTTTTTCTAAACTAGTAAATTGGGCGTGCGATGCACGTGGTGATGAATGTTTTTTGACCATTAAGTTTAGTAAAATAAATTAATTAATTTATTAAACAAATCATTGCAAAAATGAAATAAAATGTAGAACAAATAAGCTTCTTATTTTTTTAAAATAACATAATGATGTCCTAATAAAAAAAAATTGAAAGAACATGTTACACAAAAATTCTATGGAGCCATCGGATGGTTTTCTTATGGAGCCATCCATGACTTAGTGTATTGACACTTGTCCAAAGTGCATTTATTATAGGACACGTGTCAATACACTATTTGTGAATAACTGTGGATGGCTCCATAAGTCGAGCCATCCGATGGCTCCATAGCAAAACTGCATATTACAACTCCAAGAAAATATAGTCCATGGGAATAAAACACTAAGTAACTAAATAAAGACCTAATGTATAATATAGATACATTAGTTCTTTTATTTAATTATATTAGATGATTCAAGAGTAATTTTCTTTCATTTTAATTTTGACGTTTTCGTAAGAAGCATTCACACCCGTTGAAGCTCAATACATTAATAGTATTGCAAAATTCTTCTTAATTCATTCGACAAAATGTCAACATTATTCAAACACTTATAAATATTCTAGCTAAACATATAGTCAGACTTCATGATTGTGTGGTCTTAATAATGTATTAATACTAACAGTTCATGAATATCTCTGTAAAATAACCAAGGTGCCATCACAATTGTTAGTATTTTTTTATCATTGTATAAACTACTTTATTACTCTCTCTCTCTCTCTCTCCACATATAGACAAATTGTTACCTATCTCATGAAGGCATCGCCGCACGGTGTAGGAAAAAAATACATCTCCAAATAAAAATTGACTTCCCAAAATCTTAGTTATATGTACTTTTCCCGAGGTGTTAAATTACTTTCTGAAATCATCATATTACATGAAAGTATGTACACTAATGTAATTGCACATATGTTCAACCACAGTGAGATTGTAATATTCCAATCAAAAAGTGACAATTTCATTCAAACATTAAAGAATGTATTGAGCCTGGAATTTCTTTTTTCAATGTCAAGATGACGAACTATATAATCTATTGTTTGCAAATCATTGATCATCTTAGTTGTTGCAATTATTTTAGAATTGTTTATCATAATATTTTTCACATTCATTCGGATTTGCAAACTTATGTGCCTAATAACTTCTTTAATGCTTTTATTGTCCAATTTTTTTTGCATCATGCGTAATGCTTCGAAAATTCAAGATAAAGAACTCTTCTTGATTCTTCGACAATGACAAACAAAACAAAACAAAACAATTAGACAATATTAAAAAACATATTATTTGTTAAAATAATTGAGAGAATAAAAATTAGAATTCTATTATATTATGATACTCTAAGTCGTCTACGAACTTTATTATCACGAAGTTATTATTAAACCTAAATTATCTATAACAAAGTTTTATTTCTTTAATATTTTAAATTTGATAATATAGGGTCATTATTTATGAAAACCAATTTCTTACATATATATTTAAACGATAGCAAAAAAATGTTGTAATTTTAGAAGACTTTTGTTTTTAGATTTGGTATTCATATTTCTCTAAAAAAAATTTACATGTCTTCTTTATGCATTGCATTATTATTGTTTTATTTATTTTTTATTCTATTCACAAATAATATTTATTTGCTAAAAAAATTAGAGCACAATTATATGTATCGCGTCATTTTTAGTACGTATTTGATATAACGACGTTATCAAAATATCTTAATTATTAGGCTGAAACTAATATAATACAATAAATACTATTTAATATTACTTATTTATTTAGTTATAATAATGATATTATATTTGATAAATATGTATTTTTATACTGGTTATAAGTTTAAAAATTTTAGGGTTTTTTTTCATTGTTTGATAAAATATCAAATAACTAACTCATTTTCATATTTACAATTATTGTGTTCCCTTTCCCTTTTATGCAGTAATTGAATAATTGTTATAAATACAATTCATACGTTTGTCCTTAATTCACATAGTTAATGTTGGTAATGGATGTATGTTTACATCTATTTTGTAATTTTTTTTCTTATTTGTATGAATATTTCAAATCTATGTAAAATAAATATAACACAAGTTTATTGTATGTCTTTTTTATACTTAATAAAATTGATCCAACATGAATTTAAAATTTATTTTATAAGTTACTCTGTAATAGGCTTGACACATGCCTCCATCCCAAAATATATAGGATAAGGATCTATAAAAATTGTGGGAAAATTTTTTATAATTTTAATCATGTCCCTTATTTTGAAGAAAACAAATAAATTAAAAATTACATAGTGAATTTTTTTACTACTCAATCAATTATATTTTAATTTAGCTCATAACTTTATTAAAGTTATAACCAAACATGGTATCACAACTAAAGAAAATATGATCAAATCTTAAAATTATAATTTTAGCATCTAAATATATTTCTTATATCTTGATGATCTATTCTCTCTTTTTTTTTTTTTTTTGAAACATATTGTTTTCTCTAACATTAAAATATACTTTTTATATATATTTTTTAACTAATGTATGTGGAATATATGTTGATAATTCACCAATTATGTTGTTTAGTGAACTATACTATAATATAAATTTCTTGTTCATAAAAAATTTGAAAAATAAATAATTTCAACGATTTTCATATGTTGAATTGAAAAAAAAATATTCTCTTTTTCTTAAATATTTTTTAACTTATTGTGACTGTATTGTTGTATTAGAACTTAAAAATTTATTATAAATGAAAAAGATGTCAAATTATGAAATATATATATATATATATA